GGCAATGACCGCGAGGCTGAAAGCTTTAGCAATGAATTTTGACTTGTTTTGTTTGTTAACTGCTGTTTTAACGCCGCAGTTCGCGTTGCGAATGTTTCACAAGAATGCTGGGTTGTGAACAAAACTTTCGCCCCAGGCGGGACTAGCACCTCTCGCTTTCCGGGCAAGTGCGCTACCAGTTACGCTACCGGGGCACCGCCTGGGCGAAAGTTTTGTTCACAACCCAGCATTCTTGTGAAACATTCGCAACGCGAACTGCGGCGTTAAAACAGCAGTTAACAAACAAAACAAGGAGATTGATAGTGTTCAAATGAGGAATTCAATAAACCAAATCTGCGGAGTTGTTGATACCAGGCCGAATTAGGCGTCACCGGCACGTCGCTTTTGCAGGTGCAGTACAGGTGAGGGTGAAATGTTTCAACATGTTGGTAAGCGGGTCCACCAACTCTTCTTCTTACGCAAATTCTTCGCCTACCAAACTCCAGCACGTTCATGATGCGAGTCTATTGAACTCTCTTCTTGTTTATTGGTGTTAATTTGAATCAAAAATGCTTCGTTTGTTAAGATATGTACGCACATGAATTTTGTGTACAAAACTGGTTGCAATTTTGCGAACAACTCAATGCAAACATCAGGGAACGTGATTCCAAGCGCACCATATCAGCAAATCGGTAGTAATTCATGCATCCGCGGTTATCCGTTGCGAATGACTCGCAATCATCTATTTATTCTTCTCAAGAATACCTTACTTCACAGGATTGTGTTTGGTTTCGCAAATGGTACCACTACCTCTGCACGACAAAAAAACGGACCAAGTGGCATATCTACTAGGTAGACGCGACACTCACGGGTGATCACCACCCGTGAGTGGTGATAACAAAACTGATTCGCCGCGTCGTTGAATCGGTCAGCCGTTTTCCGACTTTCTTTGCAAAAGTTGAATTGGGACTTGAATCGTTTTCAGAACACAGGAATCATTTCTGAGTACCGTCCATGTTTTGCTCTCGAAAAAGCTCGGCATTTCCTTTCAGTACAGGTTCAGAATTGTTCAGCTTGAAACCGAGATTGTGAAAAACGGTTAATTCGATTGAGCTTCTGGTGTTATCGTTTGTTTCAGAGCGTGGAAAATTATTCAAAAAACGCCCGACCGAAGACTACTTCAACCTATAATTACAGAAGTCACCCAATAGGATAGCAGGCTACTAAGGGATGGCATAAGGCTATGAACGCTAGACTTAAGGAATGTTGCCCTGGAGTTTACCTATCACCCTGAGGTGGTAGAAATGCGTCTTAATTACTAGCATAATAGTAAAGCATTCGAGATCAGTTGCTCAGTGGGTCTCCTAAAGAGAGTTAAACCTTTAAGACAACACTATATGCCGAGTGCGGTGTTGACAGAATACGTTCCAGTATTAAAAGATATATCATTTTCGCTACCCTTCATCCAAGTCACCATGTAATCGACGAAGTATAGTGTGCATGTGTCGTTTCTTACCTGAGTGGTCGGTTGACGGAAGCCGATGAGAAGCAAAACTTTTTGCCTCATATCGCCATTGAGTGTAATCATCATCCACACATTAATGTAAGAGAAGAAACAGCTGATCACAGGGAATACCATCCTCATTGTGAATATAGGGCCATCCTGAAACATTTCCAGGGTCATATAGGGTAAGAGAACTAGCCTAGCCGCAGGTCCCCGGTAAGGGCCCAAGTTGGGAAGCTGTGGGAACGTTGGACACAGAAAGCCACTTAGACAGCCATCTTTTCCCAAATCGATGGCATGGTACTTCTAATAAGGCCTTCATCGGGCTTAGCGAGTAGCTTACTGTAGGCGAAACGCACCCGCCCGACTCATGTGTATTTATTTATTTCCATTCGTCCAGGGGACTCGCTTGGCAGATATACAGAGTATGTTCGAATAGAAATACTATGTCAGTCTGTGTATAATGAGCCAATGCATGTGTGTATGGTGAATGCAATAATCTAATGCCTTTGAAAGCTTCCCAGAAATCATTGACCTCTTTTGGCTACTCATGGGAGAGCCTGAAATATAAAAAGAGATGCTCATGCGCCACGATAGAGCTCCAAGAGGCCCTGCTCTAGTGAAAGGAAAAGACAGGGTATGCCAGAAAAATATTCGAGGCGGTATTGATTGCAATCGCAAAATTCAAAACAAATTATCCCAACGAAAGCTTTAAGACCATATTCCATTCTATCAAAGAAACTTCATGAAGTTCTTTTACCCCGACAACGTCAAAAGTTTCCCATGGTGCATGAGGTCGTTTACGGATCGTCAACCTTACGACGTCATCTGAAACGCTGCTCAGAAGCGTTCTGACGAGGTGAAAGCTACTGTCTCTAGAAATCTAACAACCAACAAACCAACTGAAGAAGTTGTGTAGCAGCTTCAGGCTGAAGCGATTACGATAGCCTCTAAGAGCTCGAAGTGATGACAGATGACGTCATATTCTGGAGACGGTGAGGGCAGTGAAGGAAGGCCTATTTTTGTCAATGGAGGGACATCCGCGGAATATCATGCCACAAAACTTCCATTAAAAGCACCCAGTGAGGCGCAAAGTTTGGTGATGTGCGCCATGGGCCAAGTGACTCTTCTTTCTCACATGGGATTTGATGTAATTTTCACCATGTACACAGTGGTTTTTTACGTAGTCCCGTAGCAAGGCTCTTCAAATGATTCACTCACATTTGAGCGAAGAGAAAAAGTAAACTGCATAATGTTGAAGACCAGCAGAAGTGCGAACCCCACAAATAAGCCCAACATTTGGAAATAAAGTCGACGCTCTCGTTTTAAAGCCCTGAAATCTCATTGAACAGATGAGGTAAGGCTCGTCTCAAGCTCTTGTCTAAACGGATCTAAGGTAAGCTAAACTCACACGCTACTGCTGTATCGGTTGACAATTAAGAACTTCAGTATGGCTCCATAACATAAACCGCAAAGAAAAAATGTGATCGAGACAAAAGCGGCTGCCATAGAGGTGGCAACCTTAAAGGATAGGATAGTGAAAGAAGAATTATTTGGCTCCGTTCAATTTCTTTTATGCGTCATACAATTCACCTTCGCTCCAGATCGTAATAGCCTTTTTAAAGCAGAGCGTAAAAGCATAGCGATTTAGCCTCTAACTGAAAGAGAACTAAATTGTACCTTGACTGGGAGCCGGCAAGGTACAAGTCAGTGTGCTCATACTTCCAGACAGCTCTACTTGAAAGAATTACTTCCAAGTGCCCTTTGAGTAGAACATCGACTGAAATAGATGTGCAAGGGCCATGACTCCATAAATACTATGACGCCTCCCTATCTAATATGGTATCGTAATACTTTTGGAGCCCGCGCAAAAGAGTTTTTTCTTATGTCATGGAACAGCACAGAGCCACATCGTAACATGCGGAAGAAATTGTGTTGCAGTGTCGATCATTCACGCGATTCCATTCACGTAGCAATGCTGCAGATGTGTATAGGAACGACCGACCTTACATCCGTTTCGACCCCTCCTGATGCGCTTGGAAGTGGTAGGCACTACGTCCTCTCAGGACCCCCTCTTATATTATTCCTTCAATTACCTCAATGTCCTGTTGTTCTGCCAATATTTCAAGACCTGCTTCATCTTTGAATGAGGCGTTGCTTATCAAAACGAGCGGAATCGAATAGAGAGTTGGAAATGTCCACTGCAGAAGCGGTAGTGTCCATCGATGTGAAACGTTCACCATCTGAAGACCAATCCTCAACAACGCGGATAAGAAATTATTATCTCCAATAAACTTGCTGTAGAGGCTAACGAGTTACGGACTGCAGAAGCGTATGCTGATGCGTCTACCACTCGTCTATGATTGGCTGTTCGAGCAGTGATACTTGTCCTCACGCGGGAAACAGCCAATCACAGATGAGTGGGCATGTCAGCAGCACAAGATTATAAGTTAACCCATAACGGACGGCGTGCGCCACAAGGTGGCGCACGACTATTTCTTTTGTTTTTGGAATGTTTCTAGCAATCTTAATATACCCATATATACTCTCAGCAATGTGGAATAACATATCTTCCCAGGACCTGGACGGC